CCCCTGGACCCGCAGGCACATTCCCTGTGGCTGGAAGTGGACACACCATTCTGTCCTCCCAGCCAACCCCGTGCAAGGACAAAATAAAAATCGGGCTTTGGGTTCAGAGTGGTGAAAACATTGGTGCTTTTCCCACCCTTGTTTCCAGGCATGGAAGAAAAAAGATAATGCAGGACTTCACCGACCTAGAATCTAAAATAAAAGAAAATCACTAAAAACCAGTAAGGCACACAGGGAATGCCTGCCAGAGACTTTTCCTTCCTCTGCACCCAAGCTGGCACTGTTCAAAGGGCTAGAAACAGACCCTGGCCTTCAAAATGGACAAAAGGAGGCAGAGACCCTGCCACTGCCCATTTTTAAAACTTATATTTTATCACGGTTCTTTTACAACCTGAAATGATGCTGCATGGCAGAACACCAAGGGCAGCACTGATGTGAAAAGACATAACAAATTAAGAATCGAATGTTTTTATAAGCAAAATTGTGCTTTTCGACTTAGTTTGGAAAACTCGTAGCACAAATACACGCTCCATTTGCAAACAGAAGTGAGACCCATGGGGACTAGCAGTTAGCGTAGTGGCTATGTCGCTGGACTCCAACGTAGTCGACTGCGGTTCGCGTCTCGGACCCAGTGGCTTAAAACGCACGCTGGCGTGTGTGCGTGCGTGCCCAAGATCCCGAGAGGAGAATGGAGGAGAAGGGATTGCGGCGTGACCGTCCCCTGTGGGGGGTGATTTCTCACTTTCTATCTCTTTGTCTCTCTCTGTCTGTCTAGCGAGTGCACGCGCCCTATAGCAAAAACCTTTCCAAAAAAAAAAGAAGTGAGACCCATGGTTGGAGTACATGACTTCCACTATGGCCAGTGCCACTTCACTGTGTGGCTCAGCCAGGCTGCCGTGGACACAGAGACGTGGCCAAGAACGGACCTTGCACGTCCTGACAGACTATCCCGCCTAAATCCATCTCTTCCCTTCGTGACCGGGCCCACTGGAGAAGCACAGTTTCCCTAAGAGGACGACCACAGGCTGTGAGAGAACACGCACGCCTTTTCTGCCTGGGTCACCGCCTTCCACCCCAGGCTGTCTTCAACGTTAACTGATGTGGGTTATGTACGTGGTCATTCTAGTTTCCAAGTTCTACGGCATTAAGATTATAAAGCACAGGAGTGGTTCTTCATGCAAGGGTAATATAAAAACCCTTCCCCTTTTGCATGTATCTTACAGCTATTTCATGGTCTGGTTACTGCCAAGCAAAAGTCTGTGTGTGTGTGTGTGTGTGTGTGTGTGTGTGTGTGTGTGTTCTATCTCTCTCGACATATTTGAT